AGAAATATCAAATCTGCAGTTCGTTCACTATTGCAAATAAGTTTTCTATAACTTGACAACAAAAATGTCTAATTTTTCTAATGTTGCTAATCTTCCACTTTTTTCAATTTTATTTTTATTTATTTATGTTTAACTTTACTCACCCTTCAACTATTTATAGTTGGGACATATGATAGGAAGGGATTATGGAATCAAGAAAACGTGTGCAGATTATCTTCTCCCCCATACATCATATACAGTTTTTACTGGTTTTTGACTAAATAAATCTAAATCTAAACTAAGATTTTCATCTTGCCTATCGTTTCATAAATAAAATAAGGATCAATATTATTGGTGAAATGGTGTTTAATTCAGTTTTGTTCAGCCCTTTTGTGATCAATAGTCAAAAACAAAAACTTGGATATAATAATATAATATAATTTGTGTTGTTATAAAAGGAAAAGCAATCACCAATTATAAATAATTTTAATACTTCGTAAGTGTTAGTTCAACAGTTATTGAACAATATGTGTATTAAAGAAAATGAATAGTTGAAATACACTGATTATTTTTACTTAAATGATATGAAAAATATTTGTTTATGAAAATTATTTAATATGAAGGTGAATATAATTTTTTTTGTCTAGTTCCCATATAAAATTAAATACTGTAAAATTATTACTCTTAGAGTTATTCATGACTCATGCTTTTCCAAAAGAATAAATTTTTAAACATGAAACAGTGTCCATGTATTAGAAACATTCCTTAGTTATAATTTATTTACCCAATCACATTGAATCATGATTTGTTTCAATCCATTGTCATCACTTAACATACGCAAAATTCATTTTTTAAATTTTTTGCTGCTACTCTCCAATAAATTTAGAAATACTTTAATATATTCAACTCGCACAAGTTCCTTTTATTACTAAAATTATTGTTTTACTACAAAAGCTTGGTTAAAGTGAATTAATATTTTATTTAGAAAGCAAGTGATTATACAAAATTACAAACATTCGTTAATACCAAAGTTAAGTTTACCATTTTAAAGTACACATGAATTAAAACAGGAAAATGGAATGTTTTGCTTGACCATGAACAATTCATACTCCCATAAGTGATTTTTCATGTGTTTTCATTTTGTATATTTTGGAAAGGGTATAAAGAAATTGATTGCATTTATTTATGAATAACTTTTATTCATATCTTGTGATAACATAATAAACCAACTTGGATTAAAGCATGGATTTGCATGAATTGCCTGTAGTCTGTTTACATTCTTTCACTGTTTCTGTGGGGGGAAATACAATTATTAATGTATTAGATTTCCTAATGAATGCTTCGATTTAGTATTTGGGTCAAGTACAATAACAATAATAATAATAACAAAAACAACAATAATAACAACAACAATAATAACAACAATAATAATAATAACAACAACAATAATAACAACAACAATAATAACAACAATAATAATAATAATAATAACAACAACAACAATAATAACAACAACAACATTCCATTATTGCAATTTGCTTTGATTTATTACTAATTAAAAATACATAAATGACTCTTCAGTTTTTCTTTGAGCAGTAGGCCAATGAATTAAGGTAAATCACAAGATAAATTTAGTGGTGTAATTTGAATTTAATTTAATTACTTTTTGAATTAATTAATTAATCAATCAACTGACTGTTCTTAAAGGCTCCAGAAATGGGTAACTTTAACAGAGAATTGTTTGCTGCAAATTAAAACAAAGGCATGGAGACGCAAATGATTGTGCTGCTTGCAAAATAATTAAGGAATGGAGAAGTTATATTCTTATAAAAGTTTTGTGCATGACTGGTATAATATGCATTTAGCAACATGTACATTTTATTGAAATCTTTAGCTTTGATGTATTAAATGTGAACGAAATTTTATTTCTGTAAATGTATGTTTGGGCTTCTGTGCTTTTTCAAATATTAATTCCAATTGCTGCTACCACATACCTGATTCTCGTCCATCTTTGTCTCGTGGGCAATTCCAAGCTTCTTGCATATTGGCTGTGAATGAGCAGTGTTGAATCCTCTCATATTTTTTTAACAGCCCTTGTACATGACAGCTTTTTTGTAGTCTGTGTTTTTTGTTTGTTTTCCCATCCTGTTTATGTTTTGTAGAAGACTCCCAGTTGTGCGAGCATGACCCCTTGTTAACTCCTATGGGGCCTCGACCACTTCTGCACGCCAACCAACTGCTCAGCATTCTCACTGCAAGCCCTTCTGCAGTTAATGTTACCTTTAATCGAGAAGTTGCTCTATAGCTTGCCAAAGCATTGGTCAGCAGGTTCAGGTGAGTTGTTATTCAAACGGCCTGTCCACAAAATGTTAATGAAAACCCAAGCATTTTGAGGCATAATTTTAAAGATGGTGAAATCTAATAAATTACTTTTCACTTTTTCACCTTCATTGTTTGAGGAATCAAAATATTTGTTACCACAAGGAAAGAAGCCATGACTGCACTTTTTTAAGGGTTCTGTTTCAAAATATTTTATTTATTTTGGGCCAATACAAAGAAAAATGATTTTTTCTTGTAATTTCAGAATCATTGCAGAAATGTGTGATGTGTATGTGAATAGTTTTTTTCTGTTTCATTGTATGTTAACATTCTTCTTTGTTTATGTGAGTTAGTTTTGTTGTAATTAAGAATTGATGTTAGTTGTATTTTACGTAAATGTTCTACTATAAATTGTTATCAGCTTTGTGTATTTGTACATTGCAAATGTGGAAAGTAAATGTAATTTCTTTCATAAATGTTATTTTTAATCTTCGTACCTTTAATAAAACAAATAGGTGTTGCTGAATATACATGTACATATTGGTTGCAACTGATAGATACATTATTTTAGACCAGGTGGAGGGGCTGCATTAATATACTTGCTCCAATGCTCACTTTCATATGTGAGACCTTAATGCTTTGAGCTTTTATTATATAAAGCTGTCTCTCTTTCTGCCTAGGTATGCCTAGGATTAGGTACTATTACTGTGGTAAGTGGTCTGTTAATCTTCTGTGTGTCTGTTCACTCGCTTGTACTTTTCTGGCCTAACACTTGCTTCATTCTTCTAATTTAATGTTTCATCCCTTACCCTGATTTTTGATAGATGTGATGTCCAGTATATTCTGCCTAAATTCACTTTTAAACATATCTAACACTTCATTGTTTCAGTGTGCTACCAGTGGGAATGGTACACTACCTCAAGCACAAATAATCTCATACTACATAGTGTTGTGGTGTATTCTCTTTTTCCAAAATCTTCAATGTAGCAAATGCAGGAACAACTTAATTTGTACACATTTTCTCATGCTGATAATTATACTAGGACAAAGATAAATTTTCTCAGTGAATAAAATGCTCTTTTCTATGTGTTCTTAAATATCTGCTTGCTGAAGAGCAAGATGTGTGTCCAATAGTAAATACATGGAAGATGCTTAGTTGACACTGGAAATTATTGTCCTGTCAGAAAACATTCCACTTCTCTGACCCTAAGCCTGATATTTTTTTCAAATCAAGAGTATTATTTTTCATAAAAAAAGCTTTTCATTAAAAAAACAACACTTTTTTAATGTGTAATTTTTGCACATCATGCTCTTCAAGAGCTTATGGAAAAGTATATTTTAATGGCAGTTCACAATTGTTGAATCCATTGTTTCTTCTTTGTGAAATCCAACTTGAAAATAGCATGTATTTGCATTAATTTATTTTGTTTATTTTGGCTCGTGCTGTTCAAGTCTTGAGACATGTTTCCTAGAACCTAGGGCTTCCTCTATTACAAAATATCGAGCTTACTCGTGATAAAAAGTGATTGAATATTGACAGTATTCACAAGTAATTGTGTTTCCATTAGTTTTACACCTGGAAGAATATGTTCATGGTCCTATATGCTTAAATTAATAAATGCTCAATTTGCATGAACTGCAACTTTCAATAATCAAATACTGAAACTACTGGAAACCATGTTTTATATGGTACTCCAGTATAATTAAATTGTCGGCTGCTCCATTGCTTTAATTGTTTTCATCTTGATCATGTGAAAAGTTGAACATGGCATGGCTTCCAAAGTTTACACAGTGAATTAGCATACTGTAATATAATAAATGATATGTCTGCTTTTTCATATTGCTCTGGTTGAGGCTGTGTACTCTGAATGTTAGATGAGAAGACACCTCCTTCGAGACTGGAAAATAGAGAGCTTATTACTTATAAATGTTATATTTCATGAAACACAAGGCACAACATTTTTCTTTTCTTATATTCTCTATTCTATATTTTTAACTAGTCTACTTATGCATTTACAATGCATGCTGCTAGACATTTCTATCAAATATCTTTTAGCCATGAATGAATGGGTGAAAAATTTGAAAGGAAGAAGTCTGGTTGCTGTTACCTTTTCCATCATTTTTGAATTGTGTATTATAAGTTGTTTCTTCTACAATAGTGATGTTTCTGAAGAGAAATTGAATTTTAATAAATGGCATAAAGGATCTTTCTTATGATTACAGACTTATTGATCTCGTTAATTAGATTTAAAAAGGCAATTGAGTAAATGGAACATTACATATACTTCATCATTTCAAAGACAATCATTTTAAATTCTGATTTACTTGTAGATTCAGTAATGTTTTTAAATAACATTCTATATGCTCTGGTCACATTTAGCACATTTTTCTTTCACTTATAAGAATGAGTCCGTAGAGAATAAATATTGTGTTTCCAATAGGTCTCCTACAATATATTATGGACATTTACTCACTTACCTTCATTATTTGCTGCTTTTTATGACACATTCGCAAGTGTGACTATCATTGACAATTTTACATGCAAAAAGTCTTTTGGCACAAACAAAACTGTAAAAACTTTCTTGCCAAAGCAATTTATAGTAAATGTCTTTTAAGGGCAATGCCTTTTTTAGATCCAGAAAATGTGAATTTTCTATACATGTCCTGCCCAGTTTTTAAATGATTGTGGGGTGTTTTTGCAGCAGCCGACCCGAATGCTTGGCGACTTGGACGGATAGAAGAGGCAGATCATGAAACTCCTGTCTGAACCAAAGGAAATCAAGAACTGAATGGTGATCAGTGAAGTGGTTGTGTATATGTACGTGTGAATGTTAAAACAACAGTTTCCAGTGTCATACATATTTTTTCTCTTGCAAGAATTAATTCGAAACATGCAAGAGTGCAAATTGCTTGTTTTGAACTTTTGAATAACTGCTTGCAAATTCCCTGTTGTGTAATGTCTTAATATTGAAATGATTGAGAGTGTATTTTGGAAAAGTACTCAACTTGTGCATGCTATATGTGTAGAATGATATTTTATACACTTGTATGTTCTTTTACATTGACCTTAGACATTTTTTTCCATTACCCCTACCATCATTTTATTATTTAGTTTGAATAGTTCAAAACCAGCTAAAAATAACAAATAAAGCAATAGCTTTAAATAGAAGAGACTGATGCATCAAAAGGAGCTATAACGCTATTTGTTAATTATTTACACTTTTTGAGAGAACATGTAAAACTACGCATGCTGCAGCAGAACACCTTTTCTTTTTAACTTGTCTCTTGCAGTTTATATGGAGATAGATAATGAGTTTTCATGAATTTAGATAATAATTCATCTAAATCTCAGAAGCTTTACCTGCTAAAAGGTTTATAATAGTACTTTTTTTTCATTTGGCTGTAGCCTTTCAATTTGTACTTCCAGTGTTTAAGGAATTATAAACCATTAGCAAAGTTTCATGTGCCATTTCTTTATTTCTGTGGTACTGAGTTGTCATAATCTGCATATGTCCACTATAAATATTATAAATGAATGCATAAGGAGCAAATAAACACTGTTGAGGTGCCTTTCCTTAAAAGAAATTTAGAAATTAGCCTTGCAAATTCTTATTTATGGTAAATTTCATATCTATACAAACCTTATACTTTTAAGTGTTACTGTCCAATCCTTGTCTCTTATTATCTCTATATAAAAAAGGAAACCTAATGTTCCAATGTTCATAGTTGTGCATCTTCTGAAAATTTATGTACTTATTAACAAAGAAAATGTGCACAAAAATATGTTATAAATGCATTAAGATTTATTTATTTTTGAAATGTGAAGTTAAATGCCAGTCCTTATATTTGAAATTGAAGACTGCAGTATATGCATGAGAATGGCAAGATTTTCTTTTTTGAGAATTTATATCCAATTTGATTAACCAATCAAATGAAAATGAAACTTAATAAAATGTGATTAAATAACTCAAATTTTTTCTGTGTTTATTTTGCAATTAATAAACCAAATTAATGCAAGTATTCTTCTATGAAATTCAGAGTATTTGCAGAGAAATGCTAAATTCATATTGAATGGCAGATCTGTAACACTTGCCTTACTTCTTGTACATTTCATATTACAATATAAATAAGTTTACATTGCCTTGATTTTAATTTAAATATTCTATAATTTTCACTAAAAGTACTACTTCTTAATACTGTGAATATATTTATTTCTTTTGTATTTCAGAATTTTCTTTGTGCTGTATGCCTTGTATGTAAATTCTTTAAGTGCCATAGGATTTTCTATTGCAGATTTTTCATTTAAGAATGACTTCTTTCTTGATTACTTTTCTAAAGCACTTCATTGTCCAATTAATATTATGAATCTATTTGGATTAGAAACTTGAATTTCTCTGAATGGCTTTACACATTTGTACAAAATACATTGACAGTTTTAGAAAAGAATACCTGATATGTGAAAATTTAAATTTAGAATAGATATCTTTCTTTCAAATATAAAACTGTCATAGATGATTCATAAGTTATTTTTTTATTGTTAAAAATATGACCAGTTCTTTTGTAGGTAAACCTGAAGTGTTTCATTTCTTCTTTTGGTTAATCTCCAACTCTTACATACAAATTAACGTTCAAAAGAGACTTCAATAAGCAACAAACAAAGAAGCAGATATTGTCAAAAATAAAATTTTGATTACCATTAAATTCAGAGAGTAGGCATATATTGACATCAAAAAATTATTCAACAATATTATGTAACATTAAAATGTTTTATTTCTAAAATGCAATTCTTTATTTTTTAAAAAAGAAGAAAAATTAACTTCTAATTATGTTGAGAAATACTTTCATAAATGTGATTATGGTGCATTATATCAGTTTGAGGCCGATCCGGTGGCCGAGATCGCTAAGGCAGTAGTGCTGTAGCGATCTCGTACCAAAAGATCGCGGGTTCGAGTCCCGCCTCGGGCATGGTTATATTGTGTTCGTCCTTTCACCCCCTATCATCCATCATCCTCCATCTCTCATTATCACCTTTCTGAATAACATTCAGAATTGTAACTCGAGGATTTATCCTCACCTCAAGGTGATACCTTCGACAGTCGACCATGAACAGTAAAAGTGAAGTGGAACAACTCAAGTGGTCCAATGTGGCCAATCAAGTTAATAATAATATCAGTTTGAGAAGATGTCTGGTACAATTACAAAAGAAATATAAAAGAAGAAGAATTCTCATATATCTTTTTATAATCTCCTTGTTCTGAGAGTATGGTAGGTTCCTGAAATACTTGTCAGTATATTCAAAACAATTTGGTTCTCAGTATTCATCATTTTTCTATCTTAATAATCCACATCCAGTAAAACATAATCTGAACTAAGCTGTGGAAAATCATAACTCATCAAATATTCAAAACAATTTGGTTCTCAATATTCATCATTTTTCTATCTTAGTAATCCACTATTAATAAAACATAATCTGAACTAAGCTGGGGAAAATCATAACTCATCAAATGTCATCTTCATTGTAATGTATCTTTATTGAGTCAATGAAAAGTATACAGCACTTTGAGAGAATCTTTCCTCATCAAGTCACACTACTCTCAAGAGTTGAGAATTACTTCCTCCCATGTGTATGGTGTGGTGCTTTTTTATTTTATTTGCTTCCTGATGCACAACATTTTTACAGAGGTTTGGTTTTAAATGATACAGAGTTTTAGAACAAAAGTTTCTATTACAAAACCAACACTTACCGAAAATTATGATGAGGAATGAGACTTGTTAAGGTAAAAGTGGGTCCAAAAAATTTCTGGGTGTTTTCCTGTAAATACATATTATTTTCGAGATTTTTTTTTTCCTAGTTGGAAGTGGAGAGCTTGAGGAATTGAGGGGATTTTATAATAAATTTAAGGGCATGCTGTTTGCTGTGAATAATGATGGGGTTATACCAAGCTCATGTTGAAGATCTTTGGAGTTTGAACCATGGTGCTTCTGTAATGGTCCATAGGAAATCATTTTGGAAACCCTGAAGTTTATAGACTGAGATTTGGGTGCTGAACCCCATATTGGACTTACATAAACGAGCTTGGGTTTGATCATAGCATTGTAGAGTTGGGAACCTGTGTGGAATTGAAGAGAAGATAAATTAAAATTGGGAAGAGTTGGTGAATTCATTGTGTGATAAGGGAAAGTCTATGGTGGATATGAGGTTTCCAGGTAAGGTGGGTGATCAAAGAGAACTCAAAGATATTTTACTAGGCTTTTAAATGGTAACCATTTGGATGGATGTGAAGGTGGGCTAACAAAGGAGGTAGGGTGGTCTGTGTATGGAGGAGAGTTTGGCTTGACATTTTGCAGTATGGAATTAGCTTTTCTATTTGCTGGCCAAATCAGAGATTTGATCCATGTGAACACAGATAATTGTGTCATTTAGTCCTTAGTTGAGTACAGTAGAACCTTGTCAACCTGGACGTCCAGGTAACCCAGTTCAGTTGTAAAAACAAATGTTTAATGTAGTAAATGAAGATTTGTTTTACAGACTC